TATTAATGAATTAAACAAAAAATTTTAAGTGAACAAAACAACAAAAAAATGTTAATTTGGGCTATAATTGCATGGTGTGATATATGAGACAGAAAATTTTTCTGCAAATGGATTTGAGCCAAAAAGCAATTTTTAATAAAAATATTCATTTTAAACTTATCTTTTTTTTCTGTTCCTGGATGTGTCTCCTAAGAAGGCCTTAACTCTTTTCATTTGTTTAAAACTAATAAAAGCATTTTGAGATGGATTCTATTTTGTCCTAACCCTCTGGTGTTTGGGAAGTTTTGTCACAGAGCTCAGGCAACTTAGCCCTCGTCTGCGGAGATGACTGACCGAGTTCGGCCTAAGGTATATGATGTGAGCAGTCATCACACTTACCTGCTTGATTTGTGGTTACATTTACAGACACATACTGCCGGACTCCTGGGCTCAAGTCGGACACTCCATTCACTGCCTCAATCTCAAAGGTATAGTTTGTGTGAGCGAGCAGATCCACCATCATGACAGAGGTGTTTTTCAGGCCGGTTTGCTGGGGGAGGTACCTGACATGACCGCCACACCCGTCACACACACCTGCTGGGGAGTTGCACTTCTTGCATGCAATATAATATGACACATCTTTCCTTCCACCAGTGTCAGCAGGAGGAATCCATTCCAGAAAGACACTAGTTTCATTAACATTTGAGATGGCATTCCGAGGAGCTGAGGGGGGTCCTGGTTTGCAAAGTAAAGTGAGAAAGACATATTTTAAGATGATAAAATTATGCATCATTTACTACACAAATCCCTGGTCTGAAGGGAAAAAAATTGGTTTGTAATCAATCTTGTAATAGGGAGAATGCAAGAGTTATCCATTTGTGATAACCTGAAAAATCTTGTTATAGTTTTGTAGGGATGATAACGGGGTTTATACTGTATAGAAATGATTTATCTTGCTGTTGTTATGACATCAGTTAAAGCAGATGTTTTCCTTAGTGTATATGTAAAGAATTACAGAGTAAAACTATGTATGCAAAATTAACGTTAGATAAAATTATACATTCTAAAAGTGGCAAGTCCTTTGGCAAATCCAAGGAAAAATTCTCCTTGGGGATCGTTGAACTGTTTACTTTCTCACTGGTACTTGTCCCTGAAACCAGGAAAGCAATGAGCTCAGGTAAAAACAGATTTTTTCAGTGTGGCTCTTTAATTAGAGCAAATGTTTATTAAGCACACCATCTTAAAAATAAGCAGTAATTTCCCACATCTAATTCATCAGATAAATACCTTTCAAAGAAGTTACAGTTATGAAAGCTAGAAATGTTCTCTCAAAGGAATACAATGATTACAGATTTAGTATGCGTCCAGGATGTTAAAAGAAGATCCTCACATAGAACCAAGTAAAGTTGAAAGATGTTGTATAAGAAGCCTGAAATCACATGTTAAAAGCCAGGATTTTGAAGATATGGTAAGACAGTTCACATTTACTCAACACTTGTGACATCTAAATATTCTGTGAAAAATCAGCGTCTCCCAGTATTGCCAGGAGCTGAGTCTATACTGAAGGGGAACTTAATTTTTACTATTCCTGTCCAATTTTTAGCACTTTCATTAATTTCACCTTAGGTAGGGAGTAAATGGAGGAACATATAAAGTGTTCAGTGGCACTGTCATATATGTGTGCAATGTTTTCTCTCATGGAATAAAAACCATGCTGTGGACATGTGTTTAACATACATTGGAACATCTAGGGTGTTTAGAATGATTCTCAGTGAATTATTCAAATATCTTCATATCATTGGGCTACTCTTAAATGTTTACCTCTCTTTTATCAATCAGAAACAACTATGAGCTCAACTGTATGCATTTTCTTACTCTCAAAAGATAACTTGATTTACCTGACACATACAACAATTCAAATTATTTTGGCCAAGACATGATTACCAACAGCTTTCTCTTGTCAACCCAGTCATTCCACAACCCACAAAAACTTACACTAAGGTTATATGAACTAAGTCCTGTTCGATTCAGTCAAGCACATCCTATTTCACGGTGAGTATTGCTGGCTGGCAATGATGTCTTCACCAACCAATGTGTACTAGTGAGGTGACAAGCTTATGCCCTCGGACTGAGAGCTGTGGCCAGGGAATAGAGGGAGCTTACATATAATGACTCTTCTGGTCAGATACTTGTAGACAAAAAGTTTATAAATTATTCATAGGCTTTGAATGATTCTTGTCACATAATAGGTTGAATTATTAATTCATTTATTGTTTATATTTGGTTTTTATTTTACCAGAAAAGAACCCCTCTAGATTGATTTACTTAAAATTGAATGTCTGAGGGGAAAATATAGGGCAATTAGTAGCTCAAGCAAAACTGTACTCCCCACTCTCTAATAATTTCTCCCTAATAATTCCAAGGTCTTCAAATAGATATAGATGTTTGTATGTGGTTGTACAGTATTTCATAGTTATTCTAATTTTGATAAATGAATTTATCAAAGAAAAATTGACTTTTTCTTTGCATTTTTATTAAAATAAGAATAAAAGCCTACTTAATTCTATAAAGAAAATTCAGCTATGCTGCCAAACAAGCAAACAAGCAAATAAAACCTGACTGATTACATGCTATATTAATGAATTAAACAAAAAATTTTAAGTGAACAAAACAACAAAAAAATGTTAATTTGGGCTATAATTGCATGGTGTGATATATGAGACAGAAAATTTTTCTGCAAATGGATTTGAGCCAAAAAGCAATTTTTAATAAAAATATTCATTTTAAACTTATCTTTTTCTTCTGTTCCTGGATGTGTCTCCTAAGAAGGCCTTAACTCTTTTCATTTGTTTAAAACTAATAAAAGCATTTTGAGATGGATTCTATTTTGTCCTAACCCTCTGGTGCTTGGGAAGTTTTGTCACAGAGCTCAGGCAACTTAGCCCTCGTCTGCGGAGATGACTGACCGAGTTCGGCCTAAGGTATATAATGTGAGCAGTCATCACACTTACCTGCTTGATTTGTGGTTACATTTACAGACACATACTGCCGGACTCCTGGGCTCAAGTCGGACACTCCATTCACTGCCTCAATCTCAAAGGTATAGTTTGTGTGAGCGAGCAGATCCACCATCATGACAGAGGTGTTTTTCAGGCCGGTTTGCTGGGGGAGGTACCTGACATGACCGCCACACCCGTCACACACACCTGCTGGGGAGTTGCACTTCTTGCATGCAATATAATATGACACATCTTTCCTTCCACCAGTGTCAGCAGGAGGAATCCATTCCAGAAAGACACTAGTTTCATTAACATTTGAGATGGCATTCCGAGGAGCTGAGGGGGGTCCTGGTTTGCAAAGTAAAGTGAGAAAGACATATTTTAAGATGATAAAATTATGCATCATTTACTACACAAATCCCTGGTCTGAAGGGAAAAAAATTGGTTTGTAATCAATCTTGTAATAGGGAGAATGCAAGAGTTATCCATTTGTGATAACCTGAAAAATCTTGTTATAGTTTTGTAGGGATGATAACGGGGTTTATACTGTATAGAAATGATTTATCTTGCTGTTGTTATGACATCAGTTAAAGCAGATGTTTTCCTTAGTGTATATGTAAAGAATTACAGAGTAAAACTATGTATGCAAAATTAAGGTTAGATAAAATTATACATTCTAAAAGTGGCAAGTCCTTTGGCAAATCCAAGGAAAAATTCTCCTTGGGGATCGTTGAACTGTTTACTTTCTCACTGGTACTTGTCCCTGAAACCAGGAAAGCAATGAGCTCAGGTAAAAACAGATTTTTTCAGTGTGGCTCTTGACTACAGATTTTGCCGCAAGGGAAAAAATAGCCTTAGTTTATCTCAAAATAAATTGCATTAGCTACTTGTAAATCACCAACAGAATTAGGAACCTCCCTCAAATGTCAAGAAAAAACTAGAATTTAAGTAGTTGGTCAACATTAGAATCCATAGTAACATTTTGCTTACTTTGATATTGTTTTAATATCATGGCTCTGCAAATTGTGACTTTACCTAATTGGAAAAAAAAATTTATTTTAAAAACAACTAAAAAAAACACTACAAGAGGAAGAATGGAAGTGTTCAGATCTTGAAGAAATGGTGGAACAAATTTATATATTAATAATATACATATGAATGTTACTTTATTTTTAAAACTAGTAATTTGCACACTAAAGAGAACTAAAACTGATTGCATATTAATTGTATCAAATGGTGGGAGATGTTGATAATGGAGAAAGCTACGTATTTGTGCTGGCAGAGGATATATAAGAAATCTCTGTGCTCTTCTCTGAATTTTGTTGTGAACCTAAGACTGCTCTAAAAAAAATTAATTGCATAATATATGACTCGGTAGTTGATTTTCAGATATTTAGAATTACAATCCAGTCAAATATTAATGTTATGTGATCAGAGTTTCTCAAAGAAAAAGTACATGTATATTTGTCTCAGACGTCATTAGTAAAGATTTTCTGAAAGAATAGAATGGGCTGGGTGGTAGATGAATGGTTCATAAGCACAAATTAAGCTACCAAGGATGACATAGCTTAGTTATGTTAATATTCATTGTATGTTCTAAATATAGAGATTAATATAAATTTCTACCTAATGTTTATGAAGCTATGATTGATGAGGACTAAATTTATAAGTGATAGTAAAGCTACCTAGTATTTAAGATGTCATTTCAATTAACTTAAGAATTGCCTTTTTTGACAAAACAATCCACATCTTAGCTATAATTATGGTTGAATCCTTTGAATTTCACCATATGTACAACCTCACACACTTAAAAAAAAAGTGACTTTTAAGTTGAAACAATTACTGAAGATGGAAATACAAGAATCCTTTTATTATAACCTTTAACTTATTTAACAGTTTAAAGTTACTGAGAAAATGTAATTTTTCGAGAAAAAGGTAAAATATACCCGATATATGTCTGGTTTGGAAAGATATACAACTTTGTTTTTTGTTTTCCCACCAACTGAAATATACCCCCATTTAACACCTTTCCTCTAAATCTGTAAAAATACATCAGAGTCTGACTCGTCCTGTTTTGACTCTGCTATTAACAGCCCCTTAACATTTCGGCAGAGGCACGTGTGCCTCTTGAAATAATGAAACTTAAATTCAAGAGACACCCTAAAGCAGAGGTAAAAAGTAGAGGCCCAAACTGACATTCATCTAAAAAATAATGTAATGAAATTCCATTGTCCCGCTCATAGTGACGTATGAACCAAAGTAGAGCTGTAAGAAGTACCCTTGTATTAGGCAGATTCATTAGAATATTTATTTGTGTTTGATTTTCTTTTCTGGTAAGTTTACAACATTCTGTTTTTCATATATATATATGTATATGTCCAGAAAAATTTTAAAAGGCATTGGAACCATAAATTTAATTCCAAAAAGCCAAAGGAAAAGCAAAATTCAAGATTGTCGTCTGAACATCAATCAAGCCATCTGTTTGAGGGGATCAGATGCAGTATTTGTGGTACTATGAATGCAACTAAAAACAGAACACACACACTCACAGATTACATATTAGAAAGATCTTCTACAGGAGCCCAAATAGTCTTTTTGAGAGATGCATACAAATTAGCGTTCTTTCGAGACACAGTGTTAGAAATTTACACACCTGGAGACAGAGAAAATATGAAGCCTCAGGTCCTGCTAGAGAGTTTAACAGTCCTTGCCATCAGAGCAGAGGCTCTCTCTTACCCCAAATCTAACAAATTTACAGGAAACGAGACTTGCATTTATGCTAAGAAAGAGAAAGATCATGGCTAGACCACTTAAAATAATAATTAGAAAATGAAATTTAATTTTCTGCCTCAAAAAAAACCAAGACAAGGTTTTTTCTCCCTAATTTGCCACATTATTGTCTAACCACATTTCCCCCTACTATCTGGGCATTATTTTGCTCTGAGTAATCAAAATAATATCCACTGCAACCAAACCACATCATATTCAATTATAGCTTATATAGCCTCTCTTCAAACATACCCTCCCAAGTGTATAAATAAGAATGCCATTTATTCATTTGACAAGCATTTGTTTACACTTAGAAATCATCTAGCCCATAAAATTATCAGTCTTGTAGTAAAAGAATGAGCTTTAGCAATGTAAAACTAATTAATATCATTTGAGGAATTATAAAAATGTTTCACTGACTAGGAAATTCAGACACTGAAATTCAATCAGAATTTGTGATTATTTGATTAAAGAAATTATATGTGTTTTTATATTTAATACTAACAAGTAGTAAATTAAAAAATTTTTTGTCATCATCTTTGAGAGCAACTACCACTTACTGGTATCTAAAATACTGAAACAGGACAAGTTGTAGAAATTAAATATTAAGAGGAGAAAGGGCTCACTTTTCTTCCCTTTCATTTGCTGTGTTTGTTTGATTTGCCATAGAGATTGTGAATGTTGCAAAGCTATGGAAATATTTTCATTGACCAAACAAATACAAAAATTTATTTCCCTCCCAGAAACATGTGGAACACTAAAAAAAAAAAAAAAGCACCAAGAACATTAATGAATGTGGATGCATCCACTGTAAATGTTGGAATTAAATGCATGATATTCATCAGTATATGATTATCTGATCATGGAGTTAGTAATAGTTAAGGACACTCACTAACAAGAAACATGATGACTGCTTGAAAATCCTAGCTAAAGATTGGTTTTATATGTGACTCTTGAATCTGATTTGCAATGCCTAGAACTCCATGTTCTTGCAGTGTTTCCTGTCTTCTTTTATGAATGAATTTCTCTTTGGCCTTTACAGGTGAGTGGGGCAGGTTAGAAAAAGAAGACAATTGTGCCATTTTCTGCTTGTTTATGTGATCAGAAACTTGGGTTGAAATCAGAAAGAAAAGAAAAAAGGTTTACTATGAACAAGGAAAGGGATTTATCAAAATTATACTTGGTTATTACGACCACTCAAATAAATCACAAAATAGAACAAAAAATTCTATGTGTGTGTCTAAGATGTTGAATTTGAAAGTAAAGGAAATGGATGCTTCTAACAGTGAGTGATAAAAGAGACTTAAGCTTTTCAATGCTTACTCAAGAACACTGCAATTGGGTGAAAAGCGGTACTGGCAGTAAAACATTATGCCTGTTTAGGAGAAATGGTAAGAGAATGCAACAGGCTCCATCATGCTCTTTCTTCAAGCTGGTGAAAGTTAGCCTCACCAAATATCCATGAGTTTCCTTACTTGTGCATGCCATTGTGGGTGGATCAGACTCCCTCCTGAAATAATCCTTTTCACAGACACAAGAGGTTGAAGCTTCCTCATGGGTGTAACTGTGAGGTGGGCATTTGCTGCATCTCTGGCTGTGAGGTGAGGCTTTGAAGAACCCAGGTCTGCACACTGTCAAAAGAAACAAGAGACTAAGCTTTTCCCTGGAACAGATGCAGTGTTTGTTTTGTGAATAATGTCATTCTTTTGACTAGTATACACATATTACATATGACACAATCTTTGCATTAATTTAAAATTTTTTTCATAAGCTTCTGGATCATAAATACCAGGCTATTTATTCAGATTATCAAATATTTAATTATTGAAATTAAACATGTTTGCAATGTATATATTTTTAATGATGTTTATGCTACAGGAGCTTACAAGAAATTATGTTAAAAGTTAAATACTTGTATGTATTTAAAACTGAAGCAGTATCTTGAGTATAATTTCAATTTACTCTAATTAATAACACAATGTAAATTGAAGAAATGCAAATTTTCCACTACACTTATAGAATGGTATGGTACACAGTAGGTGCTCAAAATTTTTGTTATTGAATTAATTTTAAAAATTGGTAGGTGCTAAGAGTTACAGAAATTCTACTAGATGGGAAGAATGAATGAGTGAGCTGGTGTACCATACACATGACACTGACTTCAAGAGAAGTTGGATTTTAAGTTATTTTTTTGTTTACTCCATTTTAGAACTTTGATTCAACAAGCATCTATTCTGATGTCAGTCACACTACACTACACCAACTGTAATGATATATAATAGGTAGAAAGTGTGTCTTATTCAATTTTGCATTCACAATACTTATCAGTGTTAGACCACAAGAGGTGGTCATAAATTGTTATGTAATGCATAAATGACTGGCATGTCATGAAAATTGTAACTGAACTATTTAGGATCACATAAAGAAAATGTTCTCTGGATATTTTTGTTAACATTTCAGTTGGTGGTCAAGTAAGTGCTAATAAAGTAAATCTTTTTATTTTGTGCATGCTCTATACTTTTGTATCTTTCTTCCCCAGTGGTTTAGAAACACAAATTTTTATTCCAGTTGCCCAATGTGGGCCAATCGAAGACCACCAAACTGATGGTTTGATTACTTTTTAGAGCTTAGTTTATGTAAAGCTATTCAACCATCTATATATTCTTTCCTATTTTCAAAATTTACTACATATACTTAAAAGCATTTATTCAAGCATCAATGAACATGTGCTAAAGCTCACAGAACTTGTATTTCAACTGAAATTTTTGATAGACATAACAAATTAGGGGTAATTTTCATGTCCTATAAATGATCTGGGCTTTCAGTAATCCATGCTAAGGCTTTCTGCCATCACCATGAATAATCAGGAATTGACAAAAATGAGAAGGTACTTTCTCAGTAGATCTAATTATAGTGATAGTAAAGCCTTAATGCTCTTATAAATTCAGAGAAAATGTGAAGGTATTTGAAAGATAAGAAGAGCTTTTAGATAGTATTAGGGACATTCTTATAGTTAAATGATTAGGAGAAGAGTTAAAATATTATTTTTCTTATAATAGGATTTCTGTAGCAGGCAAAAGACCAGAATTGGATACTATTCTTAGCTAAGTTATCCAATTTTTCTTCTTTTATCCTTTTCAATAAAAACGTTCTCAATTTAAAAACTATTTGCTTTCAAAGACAAATGTCAATCCACACAATCTGTATATTTGGAATTCATTTATCATTCACGAAACAAAAGCCATTTCTTTTCTTTTCAATGAGTGCCTTTTAACTTAAAAACTGTATATGATATCATTCCCACTGTTGTTCAACCTTCCATGGGAAGTTTGGAAACAGGAAATAATGTAAATATTAAATAAAAAGTAGATAATGTATCTTTCTTCAGTAGTTTAACAAAACGCTTTCAGCAGGTGTGGTAAGCCAGAAATTTTGCTTGGTACTAGGTTACAGAGGTAAGCAAAATAGATATGACCCTGCCTTTATGAATCTTAAAAGTTTTGTATGAGTAATTATAAATATAATTATGATAGGAAAAAGAAAGTGAGAGGAGTCAATATCGACACCTATTTAGTCTGGAATGTCAAAGGAGACTCCCTTCAGGAGTCTGCTGAGTTATAGAAGATTAGGAAAATTAGTCATTTTGCATCAGCCTATTGCAGTGCAATAGGGGAAAAAATCTTGGCAAAGAGCCAAAAAAGGTAGGAGATGGAGGAAAAAAAGCATTGATTAGGGAGATCGTAGGAATAAAGTGGCAGAGATGTTAGACAAGAAGAGAATACCAGATCACAAACATCTTATGCTTATTATTTGGGACTTTAATTTATGGGTAAGGTGAGTTTACTATAAAGTTTTAAGGAGGGAAATAATGATCAAAGTGGTGTTTAAGAGATCATTTTATCACAGCATGGGTAATTGACTGGAGAGGAACATAGATGGACACAATTGGTCCTTTCTTTTCTGTTGCCCTGGTCCAGAGAGAGACTCTGCTGCTTACCGCAAGTGGTTGCAATTGTGAGAGGTGAGAGTAGGTAAATTTGGGAGATGAGTGTGAGGCAAAATCAAGATGTGATGATATACCTTTGGGTCAGATGAGTGAGTGGAAAATCCTACGAATGGCTCCAAACTGTTTGGCTTAAACTTCACAGGAAATCCTGGTGCCGTTTTCTCAATTAGAAAACACTAGATATGAAATGTGTTTGGGGGACTGTGATATAATGAGTTTTAAGAAATACATATTTAGTCTCTCATATGACCAAATCTATATTTCCCAGGGATATTTGGTGTCATCCACAGTTCCTGAAAACTGCAGAGCCTTAAAGGTGACACAGGTGTCTTGTCATTTTAATGAGAGACTTTTGGACCCCCACCCAAGGGCAGGGCTGGAGGCTGACTCAGTAAATGGCCAATTGTTCAGTCAGTCTGACTATCCCATAAAGCCCTCACAAAACCCATGAGAACAGTTTGCTCACTCTCTGCTGTGCCTGCTCCACTCGGTTGGATCCCACTTTTTGGTCAGAAAGAGCTTCTATGGAGGCGGAGCCAAGATGGCGGCATGAGTAGGACAGTGGGAATCTCCTCCCAAAAACATATATATTTTTGAAAGTACAACAAATACAATTAATCCTAAAAGAGAGACCAGAAGACACAGGACAACAGCCAGACTACATCCACACCTGCAAGAAGCCAGCACCTGGTGAAAGGGGTAAGATACAAGCCCCGTCCCGGCGGGACCCGAGCACCCCTCACCCCAGCTCCCATTGGGAGGAGAGGAGTCAGAGCGGGGAGGGAGAGGGAGCCCAGGACTGCTAAACACCCAGCCCTAGCCATCTGGACCAGAGCACAGACACAGTGCATGCGTGGGGTGCTGGAAACTAGGGAAACAGGGCAGCAAGATCTTTGAGCGGGTCCTGAAGCCAGTGCCCCTGTGACAAAGAAAAGCAAGTGCTTTTTGAAAGTCTTAAAGGGACAGGGACGCCACAGCTGGAAGGAAGCATCCCGAGTCACAGTCCAGCAGCTGGAAATTCCAGGGAACTCCGGGCACACTAACCTCCTGGGCAACAGCTCTGAGATCCCTCACAGAGGTAAACAGCCAAACAGCCCCCCGTCCATTACCCCTCCGGGGCCCCACCATAGCAGAGCAGCAGCCTGAGGCTGGCCACACCCACAGCAAGGGAGCTTCCTCCATACCAGCCAGACAAGATACAGAGACCCAGTCTACATGCAATTGCCCAACACGAGCCACTAGGGGTTGCAGTTGTCCCAGTAAAGAAAGGCCAGGAGCAAGTGGAAAGCCTTGGCTCTCCCAGCTGACAGAAAGTCAATAGCTCACCATTGCACCTATCAACATGAAAAGGCAAAAAAATTTGATCCAGACAAGACTAACCCAGACAGCTTCAACATCTTCTACATCTTCCCCCTGAGAAGGAACCTGGGGAGATAGACTTAACCAATCTTCCTGAAAAAGAATTCAAAACAAAAGTCATAACCATGCTGATGGACTTGTAGAGAAATACGCAAGAACTAAGGAGCGAGAATACAGAAATAAAACAATCTCTGGAAGGACTTCAAAGCAGAATGGACGACAAGCAAGAGACCATTAACGGACTAGAAAACAGAGAACAGGAATGCAGAGAAGCTGATGCAGAGAGAGATAAAAAAGAAAGAGCTTCTATGTTTGGGGAGCCAGAAGGCCTCCACCTGCCACTGAGTCAGGCCCCAAGTCCCATGAGGATAGAAGTTCCTTTATTTGGGACCTTGCCCTGAGTCTGTCTCTCTTCACCTGGCTGTTACCTTGTATCCTTTATAGTATCATTTATTAAACTGGTAAAATTAAGTGTTTTCCTGAGTTCTGTGAGCTGCTCTAGGAAACTAATTGAACCTAAAGGGGAGGTCATGGGAACCTCTAATCTGTAGCCAGTAGGTCAGAATGGAGGTAGATCAGTGTGGAAGGAGGCTGCATTTGAAGGGTTTCTTACATATTGTGTGAAAACTTGTAGGTTATGTTAGCATTTTGTAATAAAATTAACTGATTCCTGGGGCTTCCCACCGGCATCTGGAGTTGGGGGTGGAGAGCAGTCTTGTAGGACAGAGCCCTTAGCCTAGGAATCTGGTGCTGTCTCTGGGCAGACAGCATCAGAATCGAGTTGAGTTCTCCAACACTCTGCTGGTGTTGGAGAATTGCTTGGTATAAGTATGTGTGGGAAGACCATCCCACATACTTACAGACATTGGAATTGGGTCCAGGTACCTGAATGAAGTTATACTCTTATTACTACTGTGTTATTGTTATACATACATGTAGGGAAAAAATGCACCATTGAATTTGGTATCAGAAGAGTGGGAATCTCAGGGAGGATAATGACTATGTTTAAAGCATTATTTAATTAGAGGTGGCTAAAGAAATGCAAAGAGAGGTATAGAGAGGAAAACTGAGGGGTTGAATATTGTCTAAGAAAAATATTACAAAACCGCAAGTATGAACTGCCTTCAAACCATGGCCCCAAATCCAAATGGAACATAGACTGCTGCTAGGCAATCTCAGTAGGATTCCCTTCGTTAACGTCAGTGCCCAGCATCAACAGGATTATTTGGTTGCTCCTCTTTCTTCTAACTGGTGACGACCTCTGTT